CAGAATCTGCCAAACGATAACCCTTGCAACAGTGAATGGCCCGCAGTAGCCAACCTCGGCACAAAGGCCGAGACACACACACACACACACGCACACACACACACAAACACACACACACACACACACACACACACACACACACACAGAAACGCACACACACACACACAGACATGTCGATGACGTTTTTGTGCGTTTCCGCTGGCAGAGAGAAGAGGTCGAAAGACAAAGCTTGTGCATCATGTCGATGTCGGTAGCACAGGTGGCGAAGGCTCTCACAGAGGTGATGAAGTATGCAGAGGAGGGCTTCCACTACAACGGCCGTGGCAAGTTGTCTTTGTTGGAGGAGAGGGTGTCGGGGTACTTTGCTGTTAGCGTGGATATGAGATCCACGATCATGGCCAACGGCTGTGGTTGTGTGCAGGCACGAGCACTCTTGGAATGATTGAGAGAGTCACCTGATGTTCGTGTGGACAGCGACGCGGAAGACAGCCCATACAGTCTAAAAGGAGTTGTGCAGTGGATGTGCAGCGAAGGCATGTGCGACGAAGGACTTGTCGACATGACAATGTAGCAGAAAGGGGGGACCTATACACCTGTGGCTTTCAGGAAGTTTATGGTGAGTGTGGCGAAGGGATGGGACATGCTTGTTGAAGGGGCGAACTACGAGTTGAAGAGGGGTGCTGCAGAAATACTAGTGCTGTCCAGAATCAAGGACATAACACAAACACCGCCCCAGGACTTACAAGAGCTTCCCGTGATTGTTGCAGACGGTGTGGAATACGTTCTGCTTGATCAGCTATGTGACCTCATGAACAAGACAGAGGACGACAGGAATGTCATTCATGAGGCCTTGCACGAAGTCACAGAGTACGCCGTGCAGGGTCGAGATCTCATTGATTTTGTGCCAGCGTCAGCAGGACAGGAGATCATTAGTGGCAGATCATTGTGAGGGGGCTTGTTGGGTTATGCTCTGGAGTGGCTTGGTCTTGCAACCTGCGATGTCGAGAGACAGAGAGAAAGGGAAGAGGGTTGGAGGCTGATTGTCAGTGAAACAAGGTTACCGGTCATTGAAGAAACCGGGGAGACATCAGCAGCACAAGATACAAGTGGGACGATGGTGGTCGACGTGTCTATCATGCACACATCAACGACAGAGGACTTGGTGTATATGGACATGTGTGAGGGTTTCTTCTTAGGGGAACAACAGTTGGCAGAGCGCAGAGACGATGCAGAGCACAGAGATGATGCAGAGGAGGAGGAGGAGGAAGAGTACGAGGGGTCTGACGTGGAGGTGAGCGGCAGCGACGTCAGCAGCGACGAAGTGGACGACGACAATGATGTGTACTACGATCTCAAGACGGCCTGTGGACAAGTAACCAAAGGTTGGGCACATGCAATCCTCAGGTTGGCACG